ATGGCAGTTCTAAAATACTTTTGCTGGACTTGACTCAGGTTCTGTTATCACTTTTGCTATCTCACTCCCAAACTCTAGGTCATTTTAAGGTTTCTGACTTTTTTAAATTGCTAATCTCATTCCAGTCCCCTGCCACACCCCTCTGTGGCTTTCAGTGTCCTCCCCACATCACCTTGAGGGTACAGACATTCTGATAAAGGTGCTGGGACATGGTGTGATTGGGCACTCTGTGTGGATTCTCCATGACCATGTGCAGGCATCTAACAGATACCTCTTATTCCATTAGCAGTGTTCTTTCTTGAAAGTAGTTTCAATTCCTGCTATTTCCACAAGTTTCATCTTGTCCCTGTGCTAGATGGATGGTACAAGAACTAGAGGGGCAGCAAAAAAACAGCTCAAAAGTTCAAAGCAGAGCATAGGGAGAAAGCCTATTGTGCATAGTGTTTCATTCTTTTTTTCCCCCTAAGCTTTATTGAGATATAATTGACATGTAACATTATGTAAGTTTAAGATGTTCAATGTGATGATTTGATATATGTATATATTGCAAAATGACCTCAATAAGGTCTCTCTCGATATATCTATATCTCTCGCTCTATAGATATATATAGAGATATATATATGTGTGTGTGTGTGTGTGTGTGCATGTGTGGTGAGGACCTTTAAGATCTACTCTCTTAGCAACTTTCAAATGTACAATATTGTTAACTGTAGTCACCATGCTGTACATTACATCCTCAGAATTGATTCATCTCATAACTAGAGGTTAGTACTCTTTGAACGCGTTCACCCATTTCCTCCCCTACTGCCCTCTACCGACCAGCCTCGGCAGCCACCAATCTACTTTCTCTATGATTTTTTTTTTTTCTGTTAGATTCCACATGTAAGTGAGATCATACAGTATTTGTCTTCTTCTGTCTGATTTATTTCACTTAGCATAATGCCGTCAAGGTACATCCATGTTGTTGCAAATGGCAGGATTTTCTTCTTTTTTTATGAATGAATAATATTCCTCTGTGAGTGCATGTGTGTATCACATTTTCTCTATTCATTCCTCTGTCATTTGGGGCTTAGGTTGTCTCCATGTCTTGGCTATTATGAATAATTCTGCAATGAACATGGGGTGCATCTATCTTTGAGATAAGTGATTTCATTTCCTTCAGGTACATACCCAGAAGTAGACTTTATTCTACAGGTTCCCTTTGTGTCTCTCTTGTGTTGGATCATCTGTCTTCCTCTTACTTGGTTTACTACCTCCTTTTGAAGCATATTTTACATACTCTAGTAGCTTCCAGAGAATAGAATGTGTGGGAGGTGAATTGTTTTTGAAACGTTACGTGTCTGAAAATGTCCTTATTGTATGTGATTTTTGTTTTCTCTCTCTTTTTGGAAGCTTGTAGGATCTTGTCTTTATCCTCAGCGTTCTCAATTTCATAATGATGCATGATGATGTGGCTGGATTTGTATCCAGTGTCCTGGGTATTGTGTGCCCTTTCAATCTGAAAACTCATGGACCCTTAACTTTGGGGAAATTTTCTCGAATTTCTTAGCTGACGATTTTCTCCCTTCTATTTCCTCTGTTGTCTTTTTTCTGGAGCTTCTATTACTTGGATACTGGACCTTCTGAACTGCTCTTCTCTTTTTCCCTCATGTTTTTGTCTTTTTTTTCTTTCTAGGGAGATTTCCTCAGCTTTATATCCCATCGTACTCCTTTTAATTTTTTTCTTTCCTTCTATCCTTAATTCTCTTTACTTTCAAGTCCTCTTTTTAAATCTTACACTGTTCTTGTTTCAGCACTGCAATAAATTCTCTGAACTTTCAGTGTGTATCTGTTTGGTGTTTTTTGAAGTTTTCTTCTTCTTGCATGGTCACTGTCCTCCAAGTTACTTGTTTCTCTTTGTTTGGGTCTCTCAGTTTTGCATTAGGGGGCTTTCTAAAGATGCCTGAAGGTCCTTGATTTGTCTGTTGGTGTTTGAGGGTAGGGGACTAAAATGCTGATTGGAGCACTGAGTGAACTAAGACTTGTCATCTGTAAGTTTCATCATAGGCTGATCATAGGGAACCTCCAATGTCAATATCCTTCTCCTGGGTTGGTCAGGTTTTTTCATTTTCCTGCCTGGAGGTAAAAACCTGGTTGTCAGCATTTTGGGAACCAAATAAGGGGAAATAGCTGATGGTCTCAGTATCTGATATGCATATGTTCATCTAATCCCATTCAGTTTGCCTTCAACTATGCCATTGTCCCCCTAGAGGCCCTCCCTTTTATTCTCTAGAAAATAAACCTCCAGTTATTTGCTGGTGTGTGTGTGGGGGGGATGGGCAGGTAGTCCAGGTGTGGGGAGTAGGGGAAGCCATCCAGGGATCTGAGCCCTTCTTAGTCATCCAGCCTGTCCTGCTTAGTTTAGTACTTCTTCTACTCCCAGCCTTTTGGGGGCATCTGGGGGATAAAATGAGGTGAATCTTGTCTTTCCCACAGCTAACTTAGGATTCAGGGCTGCCATGTCATTCGCCACTCTTCCCACCTGCATTGTGGCTTCCAGTATTTTGTGGTAATTGTCTCCTATACTTTCTCCTTGTTCCTTTTGGTTTAAGCCTTTAAAAAAATCCCTTTACTGTCCTTTAATTGGGTTTTGGGAGAAAGCAATTTAGGTCCTTTACCCATTTTTTAACTAGGATTATATGTTTTCTTGCTATTGAGTTGTATGAGTTCCTTATATATTTTGGATATTAACTCCTTATCAGAACTCCAGATCAGTGTTCAATCTTCCATTTTTTCCTGAAATCCTCACTATTGCTGTTTATTTACTGAACCCCCAAGAGTCTGAAGTTTTAAAAGGAAGGTTCAGTGGCCCATGTTAAACACTCCAAGATATGTTTCAGAGAAAGAATGACCAGACCACAGCCCTTTGACCAAGAGAGTCTTGTTATTTAAAATTTCTCTTTTAAACCTAGGATATTCAAAACATTTAGTTCTTCACCCATACCTTCTTTCCTCTTCTTCTATCTCCACCTCCCCCCACCCAACTTGTGCCAGCTCTCACTGTGTCGTTCAGTCCAAATTGAAGTTCTTCATGGAGCTGCTACAGGGAGACATCAGGTTGCGAGTGAGGTAGTTATAAGAAAGTAGAAACATTAAGGAGGTGGGTGCAGTACAGCACGTCACGTCAGATCCATGTCAGGTTTTTATCAAGACTGCTGGGATTGTCTCTGCCTTCTTCTTACTGGCTTGGGATCACAGCAGCCATTTTCTTTAAAGCTGTGGTTTTCCTTCAAGCCCAGAAGAAGCTACGCACGTCATCAGGTTGTCTCCAGCATCACTGGATTTGGTTGTCTCTTTAAAGAGGAGCATACCTTCAGCTTCTTAGTCAGCTGTGGAGGAAGTGATCTCAAGAGTGGCCATTCTGATTCTAGAACCAGGATCAAACTTACAAGCAAGTTTGAGAGAATGGCTGCCTCTGTAATGGGTTTCCAGCAGGATGCCCTTCTACATTTCTTCTTCAAGTATCTCCTCTAATAACTTCCAAACGTGATATCATATCATATTTATTCAAACTTGATATCATTTTTATTTTGTCATTGTTTCCTATTTAAAATTTTGTTTTTTATCAGAGAAGTTCTGCCATGTATTTCTTTGGATCTGAATTGGTAGAGTTTCAGAGGGTAATAAATAATGACCCCACTAACCTTCCAAAGTTCAGAATTAGTTGAGAGACAAAAGTCCAAGCATATAGAGAGCAAAATCTAACCTATTACTGATTTTTACTGGTAAAGCACTTTAAAAAACGTCATTAGAGGTCTGCTGGTCAATATAGGCATGGTAATATTTCTACCCTGAATTTGACATCTTATTCACTCATTGACCAAATTGGATGACCACAGGCCACTCTATAAGTGTTTAACCCTCAAAAACTTAAAACAAGAAAGAAAAGAATAGCTCCTCAAAAGCAGTCAGTAAGGGGTGGAAAGAGAGGCTAGGGGTGTTACTCTAGTGGAAGTTCTCCCCGTGGGAACATGAAGAGTGGAGAACTGTGTTCTATAATGTGAGGTGATACCAAATCCCTGAAGACACACCACTAATTTATAGCAGATGCTCAGAAAAAATAATATATTAAATCAGGTTGAGTGATACATTGAGATTTATTTCAGTAACATTAAAATCATTTTCCCATCTTAGAAGAAAGGAAGCATAGTGTTATAAGTTTAGTCATTTGTTCCTTTGGTTAAAAAACCTTCATTATGGTTTGGACTAAGTGGAGGGTATACCTTTGGCTGTGGTAGGGAGCCCCAGCTACAAATTCCAGCCCTGTTACAAACTAGCTGGGAGTCCTTGGCTCCCCTGAACCTCTGTAGACCTGTTTTTCATCTGCTTAATGAGGAATTGGGACCACCCCAATACATTAACAGATAAAAAGGGGAGGGATAAGACTGAACTTCCATAGATAAGTAGTTTCAGGGTTGGGACTAAAATCCAGGTACTTTCCTTCCCTAGTCTCATTGTTTTTTTACTGTATGCATTTTAGATTGACTTGAACTGAATTTAGACAAAGTAGTTTGGCAGCACAGAAGCGATCATTCATTTGTTCATTCACTCACTCATTCATTCATTCAACACAGCATCTTCCTTTTTATGCCAAGTACCGTGCTAGGCAATACGGATGAGCCGTGTCCTTGACTCCATAGCAGTGTACCACCTCTGTCCTTATGCATTTGCAGCTATTAGTGGCCACCTCGACCACCCTTCGTTTATAGCCTCACTTGAAGGGCTTCAAACTGATCCCTGGAAGAGATCCAGATCTCCTTGGCTGTCTTGAATCCATCATCCCTGTTTTGCTTTCCCTGAGACCTAGAATAATGCCCCCACAGTTGACATGACCCACCTCCAAGAATTAGCTCATCCCAGCTTAGCACACAAGCTCTTCAAGTGACTAAAGAGAAAAATTACACAGTAAGGTCTAGGACCATACATTGGCCTCATTATGTTTTCCTCTTTCTGTTTATAGGATGCTCAAGTTGGCATTACTACGTAACCATGCCAATGCCAGCCTCCACCTTCACAATTGCAGTAGGATCCTGGACAGAAGTGAAGCCAGAGATCTGCTCATCAAATGATCTGGCAACAGAGAGATCCTTCTCACCTTTCGAGGCTGACTTCAGGTTTGTACTTGGGAACTTGATGAAAAACAAACACTTGAGGGAGCAGTATGATGCATTTATTCCAAGCACTGGGAATGTGAGTCATTCCTGCTGAGAAATTAAACCGAAATATGATTAATCAAAGCAGGAAAAGCCCTGCTGGGAGAGAAAGAGAGTTGAGAGGCAGAAATGTGGGCATATTGTTTATGCAGAAAGAAAGAGAAAAGAAATATATATGAAATCCTCTGTGTAGTCAGGTGAAATATTTTTATGTGTTTCATTAAGTCAACAGAATCTTCAGATTCAATACTTTCCTTCTACACCTTTTAACTTTGGTTTTCAGTACTTGTTCAAAAACACAACTTAATAGAAAGAAGTTGCTTGTCTGATGGATTACCTTGTAGGCCACTCTGCTGTTTTGGTTCCGAGACTGCTATTAGCAGTGCGTTTGTAGGGGCAGCCCTACAAACGTGGGGGGAGTCAGCCTCCTTAGGAGCACAGGACATGAGGAAGCTGTCAGACGGCCATTGGGTTATAAGAATCCTGCCGGGTCAGGGCTCTGTTAACTTCAGCAGCAATGTCTTCTTTTTCAGGGTCGATCAGAGAAAATTTAAAAAAAATGTTTTTAAATTAGTATAGGCCTTAGGATATTTACTTGCAGCCTCCCGAGGCATTCACCTATTCCTAGTTTTCAGAGCCAACAGGGAGGAGAATGCACATATGAGGCACAGAAGCGCGCTCACTGTGCGCTGTTGCATCATGCTTTATCCCTAGGACTTTGACAGCCACCTCGGTTTAATCTTTTTTCCTGTTTACAGAAAGTCACCAAGTCAGTCCCTTTTGGTGGAGAGTAATGATACAGATGCTTAGTTCATCTTTGAAAACCAACTAAGATACGCTCTTAGTGCAAATTCCTTTTGTTTTATTTTGCTATGTTGCTTTCATTCTTACCACAGTGACAACAGTGGTTGGTATCCTTAGGAGATAAAGCCATTGAGGCCTCCCTTAACATAGGCACGACTTATTGCCCGCATTTACTTTTTGGAGGAAGGGAAGTAATTTCTACTTCCTACTCAGTAGCTTGCCTATTTTGGACTGTCAGCCCTGAGCTATATAGAGGATCCTAGATTGCTTATTGGATTTTACTTATGCACTCTTGAGGGAAGAAAAGAATTGTGGACAGAAGTGACATGCTGCTTTCACGTGGGAACATTTAATTGCATGTGCAACCCTCTGATACTCTCTTCCCTTGTTACTGAGATCACAAAGTAGGCCTCACTTTGCAGTTGCAGGCAGCCTAGACTTCTGAGTGGGGAGGACAGGTGCCCTGGAGAGTCACTTGGTTTCACAGTGCACTTGGTATGAGTGAGAAATAACCTTTTTTTCTGTTAAGCCACTGAAACACTAGGGCTATTTCTTACTGCAGCATATCCTAGCCTATCCTGAATTGATACAGAAGCCACTGGATGTGGCAGTCAGGGAAAGTCTTGATCTAAATGTCATCTCAGTTAGTTCTGAGGATAAGTCTATAAGTTAGATAGGCTTTATTATCTCCATTTTTCACATAAAGATACTGAAGCTTCAGACAGCAACTTGTTCATGTTCATAGCCCTGCTGAGTTACAATGTCCAGATTCACATCTGGGCTTGACCCCCTAGAGAGGTGATTCAGAATCTTGCCTGGGGACTTTTAAAAACTCTATGTAACATCCACACCTCACCTGGAGTCTGATCTACCTTCCCACCTGGAGAGTCAGCACCATGACTGAGCCACGGTTGTTGATTGGAACCTGTCATGTTGGAATAGAAAACAGAAGTTGAGAGCATTGCCTTTGAGGCCGAAGGTGCCATTTCTACTGATTGGGTATGTCTCTTTGGGCAAGCCATACTTCCCCTCTCTGTAGAATAAAGACTTTGTTCGGGGTTCTCAGATTCTTTGTGGTAAAGAAGCACTGTGCTCTTCATCTACACCCTCAGGACTCATTGACTCTTAGGGGAGGTGTGCATTGAAAAATGTGTGCCTTAGGAAGAGAGGCAAAAGCAAAGATAGAAATTTGTTATTTTGTCCTTCTAGCCATATTCCCAGAGACACGAGGTGGGGGAGTGGGCAGCAGCCATTTCTCGTGTGTGCTCTTTGCTGCCCAGAAGTAACTGCAATGGCTTTTCACTCTTCTTGCACCCATAATTGCGATGGGAGCAGGATATGGACAGATTGAGTGGGGATTCTGGGAAGAGATGGTATCTGAAATTCCTAATGGGGTTTAGGGGAACGGGTAAATCTGTTTCCTCTTTTGTCCTCCTGAGTCAGAACCAATTGAGAAACAGACAGAAGGAGAGCAAGATAAAGGGTTTTTTTGGTTGACAGAAGCTGGACGGAGGGAGTGTTCAGGTGCACAGTTTCAGTGGGCTTTCTAGTACTTCATTTCCAAATTAGACAAACTTACCCACCCACCCAGTGACCCACTCAGCTGGACCTCTGCCAGCCTCCACAGATGCACACAGACTGCCCAACAGCCAAAAGTAACCCCTCTGTGGGCAAGCGGATTAAACAAGAGAAAGCCCAGAGTGGCAAGCCAGTCTGATCAGCTGTGGAGAGAGGTCAAGGGTACCACTCCGGGGAAGCATGTCCTTGTATGGAAACAAGGGCCTGCAGAATGGAGTCCCTCCCCCACGCCCTTCCACGTCTGACATGCTATGACTAAGTTTTCCCTCCGTTCATCAAAAATGTACTGCTGATAAATTAGTAGCTTACATTTGCTTAATCCTTCCCTGGCTGCGTGCTTCATGTGTGCTGTCTTTAGTCATCAAAGGGTGGCTTTGTGTTTTTATCCATTAAATCTTTGGCTCCATGCTAAGTTTGCCAACAGAGGTGCTCTGAAGTGCCAACCGCAGTGGTGTTTTTGGTTATGTTCACATCTGGTCCCCTTGGCTCCCCCCCCAATACCCCCCCGCCCTGCTGCCCTTTTCTACTTCAAACCTTCCTAAGACCGCCAGTTCAATTCATGTAAATGTAACGTATACAGGGGCCTTATATACCACAGGCTTGCGTTTGACTGAAGTGTTCATCTGGGTCCCAGAAATTTGACCAAAGTATTGGTCACTGAACTTTTGATCACTGTTCATGTGGCCTAAATTATCGGAAGAACATTCTCTCTTCCAGCTCCAGTTCCACACATGCTCTAGCCCATTCTGGGTGAGCAAATACGTTAGTTAACAGGCACTTAGGTAAACTTTTGAAAGTTTATCAACTTTCTTTGGCTGCAGTATAACCTTCTCCAGCCACAGGGGAATCTTTGTGTTATGTTTAACCTCTCAAAAGGCCTTTTTTAAAGCATTGTCTTCACTTGGGGGCCATACAGTTTAAGCACGACATGGAAACTTGGATAAAGTTCAGAGGACTCAGGAAAAATGATTTGAAAGCCTGGAAAGCAGGCAACCCAAAGATGAAAAGCCATTGAGGTTGTTCATTCTAAAGAAGGGAAGACTTGGTAGGGGAAGAGGTCTTCTTTAGAGTTGTAAAGGCGATGAAAAATTCCCTTGTGGACCTTGGAGGATGAATGCTGTTTCTATCTCTTTGAGAGTCTGGAAAAGAAGGAATAATATATATATAACGTATTATACATATATATAAATCATAGGAAAAAATGCCGATTTCCAGCACACCCTTCGCTATGAGAGAAGCCTTTCCATATCTTTCTGGCTTGGTTTGATCTCTCCAGCCCTTGCTCCCTCAAGGTATTTCGGCTTTCTGTCTCTTACTGCACCCATCTCAATTTGCTTTGCAATGTACTGAGTGCCCTTAGAAAATGCATCCAGCTTCCAGACACTACTACATCACTGTATATATCGACATCATTGTCAACAATTCATTGGGGGCTGGTGCTGGGATTTTGAACACTCGTGATTTTTACGGTAAGCAAGCATCTAATCCGCTTGCTGAAATATGTTAATAAATTGTGTAAACTGTGTCACTGTACCTTTCAGAATTAAACATTTTTTCTCCCAAGAGAAAAAGCTCCTCAAAGATAGGGTTGGAGGGCTTCCCTGGTGGCGCAGTGGTTGAGAGTCCGCCTGCCGATGCAGGGGACGCGGGTTCGTGCCCCGGTTCGGGAGGATACCACATGCCGCGGGGCGGTTGGGCCCGTGAGCCATGGCCACTGAGCCTGCGCGTCCGGAGCCTGTGCTCCGCAACGGGAGAGGGCACAGCAGTAAGAGGCCCGTGTACTGCAAAAAAAATTTTTAAAAATATAGGGTTGGAGATTTATTCATACATGTGTACACAGCAGCATCCTCTGAGGTGCCTTGAATAGAGCAAGGATGCTGGAAATATTTACTGAATTGTCAGGTTGAACCGAGGAAGGGGTTTTTGAGTAAAGGCTATGCATTCCCAAGGGAGACTTTTCCAGCCATTCCTTTTGAACCTATAACAGGGAAACGTTTGTGTCAGGTGGTTCTAGTTCAGAACCTTCTTGAAACAAGAGGATGGCTGAAGGAGAACTTCCTGACAGTTTTCAGTCTTGGGATTATGAGTAAAACACGGTCACTCTCACTCCTTGGAAAGACCTCTTATAAAATAATTTCAGCCTAGAAATTATATGAGAGGGAACCAGTGACCAGGTTCCCATCATTTACTAGCCTAACATATATTTCACCAGTTCTTCCCACTCTTGCCCATTAATGGGCAATAACTACAAAAAGGAGGAGGAAGGGCTTCCCTGGTGGCACAGTGGTTGAGAGTCCGCCTGCCGATGCAGGGGACGCGGGTTCGTGCCCCGGTCCGGGAAGATCCCACATGCCACGGAGCGGCTGGGCCCGTGAGCCATGGCCGCTGAGCCCGCGCGTCCGGAGCCTGTGCTCCGCAACGGGAGAGGCCACAACAGTGAGAGTCCCGTGTACCGCAAAAAAAAAAAAAAAAAAAAAAAAAAGAGCAGGAAGCCAGAGAACCACATACCAGCTGAGCTCAGCTTCAAAAAAAATCCAGGGTCCCAGTTAACTCAAGAAGCATCATGAAGTATGTAGAGAAGGAGGGTCAGCAGTGAGGAGCTTATGATGATTCACGATGTGATGAAAAGAATAGTTCTTACTCTTTAGGAATGTTGTGTGGATTAATTGGGATAATGTACATAAAGTGTTCAGGACAGTGCTTGGCACATAGTAAATGTTCAGTAGCAGTTGTGGTAGGAGTTATTATTGTTTATTCTTATTATAGTTAGTATTACAGATTATTAATTAACAATCGACTATTATTAATAATCTGTACTATTAATATATTTACTCTGGTTACAAGTCTGGGCACAAGGAGGAGGTATTTACAAATGCTTGATTTGTTGGTATTGAGAGTATATTGGAGCAGGCACGTACACAGAGATTAATAACTGAAGGTTAGTGTGAGAGGAAGAGACAGCACCTTTGAGTTGATACTGGTTCTGTGGAAGACTATTCTTGACTCTATGCAAGTACGGTGTTGCCTCGCTGCTTCAGGAACATGGCTGTTGTATGAAGAGGGCCTTCTGTGGTGGGTTGTCATGGAATCACAGAGCCAGAAGAAATCTTAGAAACCATTTTAGGTTTTCTGTTTGTTTGGTTTCAATGAAAGCATAATTAACATACAACAGAATGCATGGATCTTAAGTGTTTGGCTTGATGAGCTTTTGATGATTGTATGTACCCTAAACCAGACAGAGAACCTTCCATCACCCCCGTGAGTTCCCTCACACCCCCTTCCAATCAATTCCTCCCCTCCCCCCAGCAGCCACTTTTGTGAGACCATGTTAAGAGGTGAGGAAAAAAGAGGCCCCAGATACTGAGTTCCTTGCCTCAGGTCACAGCTAGCCAGTCTGAGAACAGACTTTGAAGCCTAGGTTTCCTGATCCCCATGTTAGGAACACACGTGTGGCTTCCCAGATGCCATTTCCATTTTTATTGGGAGCCTTAATGGTCTCACATAGCTTGGTTATAGCTAGATTGCCTTAAAGTCCTGCATATTCTCCCAGGCTTTGATTATGAAAAACGGTGCTGATTCACACAACCGGAATGACCTTCATTACCCTGGCTAGTGCCATTCCTGTCCAGAGAGAATTTAACTCACCTTTTCATTTGGACGAAGTGGCTTTTTTGGGTATACCTTTGGCTACCCCAAACTATTCTCTAACCTTTGATTGAACTGATGCATCAGCACAGCACTTGTCATTAGGTGGACAGTTGCAGCCTTTTCGGTTCGATGTTTACCAACAGGCACCTATGCTCACTCTCTGTAAGGCAAGGTTATCAATCCAGGGACTTTGGCTAGCGTTCAGTGTCAGTAATGATGTTCTTCCTGTCACTTTATCCTGGCAGAAGCTTTTATGGGTCTCCACCCATTTCTCTTACCCTAAACTGTGGTGAAATGTCATCAGTGCTGGAAGCTGTGTTCTATGCCCCAGGCTGGTGGAGGGCAAGGCTTATCTCCATAGCTGTGTGGATCTCCGTGGGCAGTGCTGGCCTTGGATGGGTGAAAGGCACTTCAGAAACGTGGAGAGGAATTATTGTTGCAGTCTGCCCTTATTGGGATGTGCCAGAATTTTCAGGTTTTTCAGTATTCAGTATGAATCTGATAAGCACCTATGGTTAGAATTATAATTTGTAAATTTAAATTAGAGAGGCTTTCCATTCTGTTTGAATAAAGGATGTGTTAACCGGTGGAAAAATAGAGTTTCCTTTGATGTTGGTTTCTTTGGGTAGATAAGTTCTCTTGAGGCCTCTGAGTCAGGTTCTAGGAATTCTTTTTCAGCTCCACCTTTGACAGAATAACTGGCAGTGGTCAGATGGTATGGGCTGGGCTCTGGTCTGTTTCCTTAAAAGGTTGATTCAGTTAAATTTGTATTGAAAGTGGATTGGGGGAAATACTGTATCAAAGTGCCTCTGTATTCCTTAACAGCACAACTTTTGATGGCCTTTGTAGAGAACAGCTAGGTTACTTTTCAGTAAAATGGATTGTATTCTTTTGAAAAGCTTTGTCATTTGGTTCGCATGATACATCACTGAGTCTGTATCTTTTTTTTTTTTTTTTTTTTTTGCGGGCCTCTCACTGTTGTGGCCTCTCCCGTTGCGGAGCACAGGCTCTGGACGCTCAGGCTCAGCGGCCATGGCTCACGGGCCCAGCCGCTCCGTGGCATGTGGGACCTTCCCGGACCGGGGCTCGAACCCGTGTCCCCTGCATCGGCAGGCGGACTCTCAACAACTGCGCCACCAGGGAAGCCTGAGTCTGTATCTTTTATTGTAGAACATTTCAGAGTGAGATCTTTAACTTGGTTGCACTGTCCCTTCCTTTCTGAGTTGCAAATTGTCCCTGAATTGGAGAAGATTTTCCCCGTAGTGACATTTGAAAGGCACGTTTCTGAGGGCAGGAAATTGCTTTTTATTTTGGTGGGGGGTTGTTTTGTTATTTTGAATCTTGGAGGTTCCCCCTATTTATTCTAAAAGAAGATTTTACTACTTTTACTTAGCTTAGATTGAAAATAGTCGATTCAGCACATTGATAAGTATTTTGACCTGTCATTTTTCACCACTGTGCAGAAACAGACAAGCCAAGGACCAAAATGAACTGCTTTGCTTATAAGCCCATCAGAGCCACTGTCTCCTAGAAGTTGTCTGTGTCTGTGAGAGCTCCTCATCTCCATGGCAAGGGGAATAAACCTGATTTACCAATAAAACGCATCTACTTATTTCGTGTTGTTCCCAGGTATGTTGGTGGTTGTGGTCACATGGAATACCCCTGCCGCTTCCAGAATGCTTCTGCCACCACCCAGGAGATAATTCCTCATCGGGTCTTCGCTCCAGTGTGCCTGAAGGGTGCCTGCCAAGAGACCCTTCTGCCGCTGATCCCTCCTTGCCTCTCAGCAGCACACTCTGTCCTGGGAACACACCCGTTCTCCAGGCTGGATGTCCTCCTTGTTCCTGCCAACTTTCCGAGTCTGGGGATGGCCAGGTACGTTGTTCTGTTGTGGCTCTGTGGAAGTTTTTTGACTGCTTCTTGCTTTCCCTGAGCTCTGTCAGGGCAATCGTTTGATTAGGTTGGAAGGGCCATCTCACTGCTGCCTTGAGGGATGGTGTGTGTCTACTCCACCATGCATGAGCCTTTGGGCGTCATGGGCTCAATTCAGTTGTCTTGAGAGTAAACACTCACATCGTTGCTGGGATTGAGAACACACTGTGCCCCCAGAATGCTGTATGTTGGATTGTGGCTAATCAGGGGCTAGTTAGCTCAGGTGGTGAGAGCATGATGCTAACGAGCCCGACGGTCATAGCTCTGGGCAGAGTAACACAACTTGGTTCTAGAGCACAGGCTGCTCGAGTAATCCCGACCAGCTGTCTCATGCATTCTCACCACTGGTCACAAGGGCAACGACTTGAGAGCCCCTGTGTCAGAGAGACTGTGGATGAATCAGTGTAAATCTATCACGGCTGCTAGGAAAACAGCTCAAAGCAGATGGCTCACTGGGGAAGGTTAGGGGGGTCACTTGTCTTGCTACTATTTTTTAATATAATAAATGTATTATTCTTACTGTCATCCCAGTTTAGTTCCTATGAAAAATCAAGACCTGAAAGTTGAACCTTTTCCTATATGTAATTTATGCCTAAAATTCATTCATTAATGCTGTTGTTCATTCAGTAATAGGTAACTGCGTTTCACTCAGTGTTTTACTTGGTTATGTACTCAGGATTTTCTTGGTTCTATTTCTGTTTGAAAATCTTAATCATTAACAGTGAATATGCTCGACTAAGGATGGGAAAAATAAGCTCATCAAAACACGTGACTTTAAGTTTTTCCCTATTAGTCAAGGAAATTCGTGCTGCCAATTAATTTCTATGCTTTTGAACAGCTGTCATTCGTGGTGTTTTCCCTGAAAGCTGCACACATTCTTAGTGAAACCCATGAGTAGAAAAGAACTGACCAGAACATTTGCTTTTGATCTTTACTATATACGTATACTTTTTAAAAGCTGGCTGGTAGTTTTAATCCTTGACGAGGTCTGAGAAGGTCATTTAGACTGACGTGTATCCTATATTCATGAAGATAATGGGAATGTAAAAACTAGGATCATTATATATATTTGGTTATGTGCCTCATGTAATTGTCTTGGCTGTCTATATATAGAATTTGTCTTAACAAGGGGTCTTCTTTGGTCCCTTTGAAGAGACTGCTGGACTTAATTTGAGTGGAATTACTGGCAAAGGAAGGGTCGTTCGTTAAATGTGTCTGATTTGTACACCGTTTTGAGGGACCGTGTTTATTTGGGAGTTTTTAGCACTTTATGAGAGTTGCAGTTTTTCAGGGCATGTTTGCTAACAGTTCCATGTTCTGACCTGAGGGAACCAGAGGCATGGTATTTTTCATACAGAGAAACTTATTTATTTTCTATAGCTCCTTTCTGGTATCAGTCTGCCAAAACCAGAATTTGTTGACCTGTAGGCCAATCTATAAAGCTTTTCTTTTTAAGTTTGTGTGCCCAAGCTGTGTGTTTGCTTCTTTTTGAGATATTTAAATTGATTTAAACATGCCTAAATCTGTTTTTTTAACGTAGTAAGCCTAAGTACCCTACGGCCAAATGGTACTGGCCACAAATGTCAAAAACTGTGATGGTGATAATAACTTAGCAGGAACAAGACTGCTTTTATGCTTAAAAACAGGAGAACCGTACATTTAAAAATTTGTGGTTGGTTGTCAAATACCATTTTTTTCCCTTCTTTTTAGACTGTAGAAATAGTCTGCCCTGGCCTAGATGTTTTCCTGGGCTTAGTTACCTCTCCCTGTATTTGAACAGTGGAGGGGGGATTGTGGTATCTTCCACTGCCAGTTGGGGGTACGGAGGCACTGTTTTTCCTAACTCTGACCTAAATTGATTCCACTTGCTTGGCTTGACTCTCTCGGGATCCCCACACCTTGAGCCACATGCAACTGAGTGAGGTTTATGACTCAGCTGGCTCCTGGGGCCCTGTTGCCTTATTTATGGTCAAATCTTTGCTTGGGGCTCTATAAAGCAAACTGACACAAAAATGACAGTCTTGTAGGTCAATTCTGTACCCTAAAGAGGAGTAGAGAAACCCCAAGTCTAGTAGGAGCCACTCAAGAAGACGTCTAAGAGAAAAACAAATACCGTATGCTAACACATATATATGGAATCTTAAAAAAAAAAAAATGGTACTGATGAACCTAGTGGCAGGGCAGGAATAAAGACGTAGACATAGAGAATGGACCTGAGGACACGGGCTGGGGAGGGGAAAGCTGGGGCGAAGTGAGAGTAGTGTCGACACATATACACTACCGAATGTAAAATAGTTAGCTAGTGGGAAGCAGCCGCATAGCACAGGGAGATCAGCTCGGTGCTCTGCGACCACCTAGAGCGGTGGGATAGGGAGGGTGGGAGGGAGGCTCAAGGGGGAGGGGATATGGGGACATGTGTATGCATACGGCTGATTCACTTTTGTGTACAACAGAAACTAACACAGTACTGTGAAGCAGTTATACCCCAATAAAGATCTATTAAAAAAAAAAAGACATCTGCTCTGAAATTTGCCATTGTCCTATTAGTTGTAATGCACTGGAGATCAAAGGATTCCTTGGTAAATTAAATGCTTCTTTCCTGAGTCCACATTTTATAAACATGTATGTAAGATCATAAATTCCATACCTCTGGATTTCTTTAGTGACTAGGTCTTAATCATAACGAATAACATTTTACATAAACTTAGTATTCTTTTTTAGTAGATGACATTAAGCAGATCCACATGAACTAAAATGGGTGAATTATTAATAAAAGTTTTAAAAACTTTGGGGATAATATCCATAATGATTTCACTGTATTTTACATTTACATATCATAGTTCACATGAATAACCTTAAAATTCTCTGCTCTGAGTCTGTTTTTGAGCCTGATTCTGATATTTCAGTAAAGCAAGAAAAAACATTTGTACAATTTGAATGTATGATAATGACAAATCAACTTATAACAAAGTAAATAATAAAACAACAACTGTTTAGGATTTGGAGTGTTTTTCACTCGAAATAGCAGTAAGTAGAACATTTATCAATACTGCACTTCATGATTTTTGTCACCTTTTAATATGCTAGGAACTGTTACTTATCAACCCCTCCAGGGGAGAGATACTTTCATTCTATTCTGATTTTAAGAAAAATGACTAGTTTGCCTCTAAGGCACTATTCACAGTTCCACTCCCATCCTTTTCTCATTTTGTAAATGTGGGCTTTCTGTTTTTGTTTCATGTTACTTTTGCCTTCTATAAAGGCTGAATCTGCCATATGAGGAGCTGTGGAGTGTACATTTCTTGGATTGAGTAACATGTTATCTAAACAAAGATAAGAATGCATTTTAAATGAGTCTCTGATGTATAGAACAACTCTCTTCATGTTGGTGTAATTAGCATTCTGTCATTTTCATTGTGTCCTCTTATTTTCTCAAATGTCTCAGCCAGGCATTGACTAGTAAGCCTAATTTCCTAGGTATTGCGAAATTCATGAAAGGAGTTCGTCATCCTCCTTACACTCTTTGTTATAATAATAATAATGTTAATGGAATAATATCCTGGAATCAGATTTATGACAGTTGTCTCAAAATTAACACCTCAGTCTTACCTCTGTGTACGTTTGTAATAAGTGCTTTGCTCCACCATTTGTCTTTCAGCGGTTCACAATTACGTGTCACGGGGTGTAATTAGGTTGGCAGAACTACCTTGCTGACATCGAAATACGTTCTTGTTTTTTTTTCCTCCTCTATTTGAATTGGAAGAATCTTCTGCAAATCATTTCAGAGTGGTTTTATGTATAGAGCATTGAATAAAAAAGCCATGTCCTCTGTGGCTGTGCTTCCCCCCTCTACCATTCACGTGTAGTTTCACCCTAGTCCTTCTTGGAAAACTGGGGACAAAAGAAAAAAAAAAAAGGTAGCAGTGTGGTTGGTGATAGGTGGCCAGTTCTGCTTTGATCTTTTTCCCTCTGGCTGTGTACCAGACTGTCTCGTTCATCAGTTCATTTGTTTGTTCGTTTATTCATTTATTCTTACAGTTCTATTAAGCGCATACTGTGCGCCAGGCAGGATTTAAGATGCTGAGTCTACAAGGGTGGACAAGGTTGATGAAATCTCCGCCATTACGGAACTTACATTCCAGTCAGGGGAGAGAATAGTATACATGAAAACAAACAACTAAGATGTGTGCTATGAAGAAAATATAGCCACATTAAGTGACAGAGCGACCGGGGACCAGTAGCATCGTTAGGGTGAAGAGGCAAAGGCTTCTTTAAAGAGTGACTTTTGCAGTGAGACTGAAGAACGGGAAGGAGCCAGTCTTGTGGTAATCTGGTGGGAAAGCAACTCAGGCTGAGGGAAGTTCAAGTCCAAAGGCCCCACGGGAACCGTTGTAATGGGCTGGAGGGGCAGAAAGAAGGCCAGCATGACTAGAGGGCAATAGAGAGCTTTTAGAATGGCTTTCCTTAGACTCATTTTGGGCACCAGGGAATGCCATGGTCCTGCAGCGCTTGGGTCACCTGAGCCACCCATACACCCATTTGAGGAAAGTGAGGGAGAGCCACTAAGACAGGGCAGAGGTTGAGCAGAGATTGATGGTTCCACGCAGTCCTGTGTATATGGAGAGAGTTGTCAGAGAGGTCAAATCGTTTCTCGGCTTTCTGGGGACCAGTGGTGCCATAGCATCTTGTGATTGACTGACTGGAGCCTGACTTGGCTTAGCATCTACTGTGCTTGAGCAGAATTCTCCATTGAGGGGGCATCAGAGCACTTGGCACCCAGACTGGCAACTCTCCCCAGTGGCTGCTGGTTGATTCCTTGCAAGTTTTTTTTTTTAACACAACAGGTCACAGAGGGAGGCATTATTTATATGTTTGCTCAGCCTAATTTTTAAGGTTTTTAAAGACTGAACAAAAATAGGACTGATAGATAAAGAACATAGAGA